GAAGCAACTGTAAACTCTAGAGGGAATTTATATCTGTAACTGTAACCAGTTCGATTTTGTTTGCAAACCTGGTTAAATTGTCATATTTAATTATCTTAAAGATAAATCGTCCAGCTCAAACCTTTGTAGTCGTAAGAGGTGGACCATCATCATCATCATCATCAGCTCAACATGGTACACGTTTTCGTGAAGACTGGTGTAACTCAATTGGCGACGATGACGTTCGTTTGAGAATTGGCTATTTAATTTACATTTTGACGTAGAACTACGTCTTTGTCGACTATACTGGGGTGCAAATCAAAAAATATGTGTGGTGAAGGAGTGTTAGGTTTTGAACACTTGTAACTTTGTCATTTATAGATGAAATTTAAATCTAAATACGCCAATCGATAGGATATTACATTACAAACCTGTTGAAATAAAAAAAATCCAATTTTTTGTATTTAAACTATTGAAATGTACAAATGATAATTTTATCATTGATTTCATGAAATAAGCCTTTTTCCCAAACCCAGTCATCATAAACGAATACCACTTGAACCTGAAAAGATATAAATCAGCGCTGCTCTCATGCCTCTGCTCATTACCGCTTCGGACGGCGTGGATCACGGCGTGTCCACCACAATGAGGAATGAGGCTTGAAAAAACGTGCATGTAAAACCCATGTCCTGCAGTAAGCAGGACCAAATCAGCGGCTAAATGTGGATCACGGCGTGACCACAATGAGGAAAAGTAATTATGTAAACCCCCTCCCCCTTTCACAACAACCTCTTCCCCTCCCCCCACTCATCAACAACATTGAAATACTTGAAAATTTTAAGATAAAGTATAATATTCAAAAATGCATGAAAAACATCAATTTTGTGTGGTTCTACGTCATACTGCGGTCGTGTCTAGGACACAACCCTTTAATTTTTTTAATTTATTTTTTATATAAATGAAGCGAATTCCTCCATTAAATGACATCACTTCGCTTGGATGTACCCTAATGCACCGAATACCAGACATTAATCCGGGCGTTTAATTTTTTATAACTCAAAATTACATCTACTATGCAACATAATAAATATGTGTGATGATTCTGGACGATATAAAAACCCCATGATAAAATTTACGTGCTATTTTAAGTATGATAAACATTGATAATCATCTTTTATAAATGACCAGATTTGATAACTTAGTGTCCGGATTTTGATGCTTTAAAGTATACTCTCAACTTTCGGTGAGCTTATTATTTATACGATTAATCCACATGAAAAATAGCACGAACACCTTCATAGATACATACCTTTTTCTTATATAAATCCACGTATGCGAGTCGACCCAAACCATCACAGTGAGTAAGATAGCTGCCATGAAGCTAGCAATCAACATAAGTACGAGTCCTAGTAGTCCTCCCTCGCAGAGGCCACGTGTTGCGTTTAGATAGCTATAGTGAACGGCTTTACAGTCTACCAGCGCTGTCAATCCAGTTAAAATACGCTCGCACAACTTGATATCCGCATTAACTGATCCCAGTTTAGGTCCTAAACCAGCGTTCTTGAATAGTACTGGGGATATTCTAAAAAAATACAACATTGTTTGGTTTTACCTACATACCAGTTAATGACATGTGTTAACTTACTTCGAAACGGTGCTCATCGAATTTCGTGCATTGTTAATGGCATTTTGTGATTCACGAAGTCGTTGAGTGAATGGATTTGATCGTGAAACGTCACATTGCGTGTAGTACAAAAGGATATCCGAGGGTAGCTCGTGTGGCGCTTGATGTACAAGGAAGTCCGCTGGATCGTTACATAAATCCCCTACGGCGACCGAAGTAGACAGATAGAGGCCTGACATGAGCCACGAACCGGTCACGGCCAAAAGTCCACAAACACTGAAAAGAATCAATGCACACCGTGAGTGGCGTGCTACGCCAACAAGAAGAACTGCACACAGGACTAGCAATAGTGCTAGTATGGCCACCGTTCCGGGCCATCGAATCAGCTCCCATTGGTCTCCTTTCTGGAATATTTTAATGGGTTTAGAAGCTTGAGAGATTAAATTTTCAATAATTGTACCGAGAGAAAATCCGTTATGGTCAGACCAACCAAAGGTCGACGAATGTCGTTAGCCGCATTTTTCGCATTGGTAACATTACCCTTGGTATATGCAAGCGCTGCTTGCAACTGCAACAGTGCAGTTTGATTGTTCGTTTTTCCATCGAAAATGTCCTCAAGCTCTGTGAGCTGTTGCTGGATTTTCATAGTGAGAGTATTCTCCAAGATGAATGTTTGGTTGCGTACAGACGAGACGGCAGTATCCACTTTACGACCGGCTTGCAACACTTCCAGAAGCCCATTGTGTAAATCATCGTTCCCGTAGAGGCCCAATCCGATGGCTGCACAGCACAGTACAGTGACAATGGAGAGGGTAACTTTGAGACTGGTTATTGAATGTGCCGGCCGGGGCTTACGGTCGCAACATCGCGTCAGGAGGTACAGCAGAAGCCCGAAAAGTGATACTATTAACAATGCGGCTGGTATCGATCCCAGGATACCCAGACTCTAAATAAACGAGAGGAAATTTGCAAGCGACATGAGAAACAGTAGAAAGAGATGGCCATTGAGTAGTTAGATGTAAGAAAAAAACAATCAATTTTATTACGTACGGTAGACATTCGATGAATGAAGCTATAGCTCGTGTTTTGAACACACAGACTCATGCGCACGCGATAGTGTGCACAAAGGGATGAACAAAGTTGCCAGAGAATGATTCGTAATATTAAATTTACTAGAATAATTGTCAATGTATGTAAATCTTGTTCAGTGCAATTATATTTTTCCTGGCTATTGCGTGCCAACTGGAACCTTACACCTGCCGTCAAAAAAAGGTCTACCGCAGAAACATTTTAATACCATACCGATTCTGCAACCGTGTGAACAGCCGTGTGAAAAAACAGCCGTTCGGATTCACCGGGAAGTGGTCATAGAGAACCAACAGATGAAGCATTGGTAGAGATTAACTAGCCAATAGGCTAAAAATCTCTTTAAAGTATAAAAAAAAATATGCTTGGTACTAGCTTTCATCCTCAACGCACATAACCACTCGGCACAACCTGTGGTTTGGAGCTGAAGAATCGTCGCCATCATTGTCGTCGAAGGGTCCCCGCCATGAAGCAGCAAGCTGGAACAGCGAGGAGGAGAAAAAGCTAAGTTGACGGCTAAAATAGTATGATATTTGCCATTCGACTCTTTGCAGCACTCCAGCTCACTCGCAACTCCAGACTAGTGATGCGACAGCAAGAATAATATATTGATACAATATATCTTTCTGTTCCACACTAATCTTATCGAATGAGATGAGGCCCAAGTATTTAACAATTATAATTTTAATAGTCTTGTAAATCATGATTTAGACTTGAAGTATGCTTGAAAGCCTTGATAAACCTTGCAATGTTACTTGGAAGAAGTTTGTCAAAATGAAAGGAGGTGGAAATCAACGATGCCAGATATACCGACTTCTGTACACGAAGTTGTACAAGTTGTCACCCTTTTTTAATTGTATCCAAAAAATATCAAATGAAGTATTTCCTGAAGCTAGAATTAATGCAATAACTAGTTAATATTTGTAACTATTTTTATATCTAATTAGATTAGAAAAATCGTTATTATAATTAAAGTTACAAGGGTTCAAAAAAGATAGTGTCCACCTTTATCGTGTACAAAAGTCTGTATATCTGGTATCGTTGGTGGAAATGAGAGTTTGCCGCATTAAAAAATGTCCTGTCATTTTTTATCCGGATAAACGGTTGATCCGGATTTTGGATTCCTCTCGGATACTTGTATCCGGATATCCGGATAGTCTCAGCACTATTGTTATGGTATTTTTAGTGGTGTGCTAAGTGATTACAGTATTTTTCCCACATGCTTTATATAGATTCTCCGAATTTAATGCCGTTTAACAATGTGATTAAAAGCTCCATATTTTGATTACTAATGAGCAACATTTTAGCTAATTTGGTTAATTTTTATTCAAGAAATAGTGATTTTTAACACTTCCGTGCCAGGCGTTTTTGTTACATCGGATTTTGATGCGATCAGCAATTGGTTCTTGTTTTTATACATATGTGATTAGATTGAATATAAACAGCTGCGCGTCCACCTTCAAAGATGTGGGTATAGTGTTTCGCCAAAACCCATTAATGGGTATAAAAATACCCATTTCCGCTAAAAGTGCCCCTCCTCATTTAATGGGTAAACTATGGTTTACTCATTAATGGGTAAATGGAAGGTCTGTCAATAAATGGGTGTATTTTACCCATTTTATTAAATTTTGTTTACTGTAAAATGGGTAAAAATACAGTTTTTTGACCGTCTCTATGACATCACCCCTACGTAAACTTGATGAGGGTAGCATCAAGTCTACGGTGGCATAGTGGTAGAGCACCCGTCTAGCGTAAGTGTGGATTCAATTCCCACCTGCAGCCAGTGGATTTTTGACGTAGAACTACGTCTTTGTCGACTATACCGGGGTGCAAATCAAAAAATATGTATGGTGAAATAGTGTTAGGTTTTGAACGTCTATAACTTTGTCGTTCATAGATGAAATTAAAATCCAAATATACCAATCGATAGTATATTACTTTACGAATCTGCTGAAATAAATAGCTTTCAAATTTTCCATGAACACTTTTAAAAAATGCGCAAATGATAATTTTATCCCTGTTTTCTGAAATAAACGTATTCCCCAAACCCAGTCATCATAATCGAGTACTATTTGGCTGCACATCGTTCTGTTTGAACCTAAAAAGATATAAAACAGCGCTGTTGTCGTGCTTCTGCTCATTACCGCTTCGGTTGGCGTGGCATTGGGTCCTAAAGCAAGCAGGAGCAAGTCAGCAGTTAATGTGGTGTTTACATCTATACGGAATTACAAGTACTGTGTAAAAAAGTAGCCAGCATAATGTAAGCAGGGCATTAGAGTCTACCAGCATGTGCTAGTTGGCTAGTAATCTAGCACAGATGTAAACACCCCTAGAGGTGGATCACTGCTTGACAACCCGCGATGGGGTCGAAGGAGACTGGGTGCAACTAGATCTAAACGTGGGAATTGTCTGAACAAAACACCCCCCCTCCCCCCCCTCTCCTACACTGACAATCTGAAAGTAAAGAAACTAAAATTAAGTAAAATTAATTCCATTAATGTTTTACCCACTTCTGCTCATAGAGCCAAACATTCAAATTTGAGAAAAAAATCGCTTATGATGATGATTGTGATTTAACAACAATTGACTGTAGAACATATCTGGTACCTCTTCATATGCAATTCGATTAACATCCAAAGTCCATCCTTTTTTACATATTCTGCACAGAAGATACTTTCTGCCCCGCCCCATTCATGAAAAAAACGGCGAGAAATCCTGTTAGAGGCGGAGCTTAGAAAGCATTTTTTGAGCAGAATATGTAAAACAGGATGGACTTCGGATGTTAATCTAATTGCATATAAGAGGTACCTTAACTATGATGCTTACTATAAAAATATTGAACAGGTGGAGAACCTGTATACAAGCTTCTGTTCTGACTTTGAAATTTAATAACTCAATGCCCCCAATTTTCAATTAATGTTGTACTGAGCACCTACTTATTGGAAACCAGACGTTTGATTTGAGAATAAAAGTCACAGAATTCTATTTTGCATCTAAGCTACATAATGATGATGCATGATAATTTTATGTTAGGGTTGTCCTCCAAATTGGAAAACAAAGAGGTGCTTAAGTCCCGTTTGATCGTGTTACCCCTTCCTCCCCTACTTCGCTGACATATGAACCAACATTTTGTTCAATATTGAAAGTACCGTCTTCTGATTCTTCTGATGACTGCCTGTTGTGTTATCATAAAATGCAACCTTCAATCTTCTCTGCTACAGAGACCTAATTTAAAACTAATGGTGGAGCTACTAAAAAAAATTAACGTATTTTTTGGCAATTTTTTTATGGTTTTATCTCACAACATGCATGGACTATACTGGGGTGCTACTCCAAAATTAAATAACAGCTTGTTTAAATATTCATAATATATTACATTCCAGACGCTCGGGTTTGGTGAAGCATTTCCGCTATCACGGTGACATGGAACTTAACTAATTATGTCAAAAGATAGCCCTTATACATCTGAAAAATTTTGCCGAAGACACCTCCTCTCGGATGCATGGGTAGAGCGCTACGATCTTTATCAAAACCCAGAGTGAGCAGGCAACATTGGTGCAGTTGGTACGAAGAATAGGGCTATTCAATCCAGGCTACTATGTCATAGTGCAATTTGCACTGAAAGCAGTCAATTTATCAAATTAGAAAGTTATCGGTTTTTGGAGCAATTAAACACTAATTAGCTTGAATTTCAATCAAAAAGTGGTCTTGAGCAAAGTTATAGTTGATTATATTTGACAAAAGAAAAGATAGCAAGCATTATGCAAAACGGTTAGGACAATTACAACAACAATTTCTTTTGTCCCATAGTATCTCCCTTATAAACTTTAAAGTGCTACTCCAAAATTAAATAACGGCTTGTTTAAATATTCATAATATATTACATTCCAGGAAAAATACTTGAACCAACATTAAATCATAATCGAAACATTGAAATACTTGAAAAATTCAAGATAAAATATAATAGTAAAAAATGCATGACATACCTCAATTTAGCGTAGTTCTACGTCATACTGCGGTCGTGTCTAATACACAACCCTTCAATTTTATTTTCATCATTTTCGCAACATATCTCTGCATCTGTTCGGGACTAAGGTAGAGGAAGATCCTGACGATTATGCCACACTAGTTTGACTCAACATAAGTTATTTACCTTTAAATTATATGATTTTGCTTTTGTTAGAATACACATGTGTCACCCAGTACTTTTGCCCGGTACTGTAGCTTATAGCAAAAATATATTTCGAATTAACAGTTGCCGTGTAAGTGCTAAAAATATTGTTGATTTAAGTTCAGTGAAGTCAATGCGGTTCGTAATGATATCGTTTACAAATGAAACCATTGTACATTCATGAAGCTAATTCAATGTTTGTATGCTGATAAGCAGGCAACGTGCTTCATAAAATGCAAAGGTAAATCATGTCCAACCTAACTGATGGGGAGTATATACTAAAAATGGCCTTTGTACTGATTCTAATTTTTGTTCGTACGTTAGTATGCTGCAAAACATATTTTAGTATTGATCACAACCAGACTTAAATACATTTTGACGAGTTTCCTTACACGGTTTGTTTTTCAAATTTTAAGCACTTAACTTTCAGATTTTAAGCAAATATACTTTCAGACTTTTATTCGGACTTGGAAAGCTTGTTGAGAGATCTCGGACTGTGATTTTTGTAAAAGTGTTTCGAAACAGTTTTGTACAATTCTATCAATTGGAATGGATCCATTTATGCCTTTTTCATACATTGCAATGGTGACCCAAGCCGGAGGCGGCGGGTTCGATTCCCGGTCCGGTCGAGGGAATCTTTCGGGTTGGAAATTTTCTCGACTTCCCTGGGCATAGAGTATCATTGTGCT